ATCGTTATAACGATTTCTGTGGTGTTAGAAATAATTGACGCTATAACGCGAGGTTGCTATAACGGTATGCATGTACAAAACTGCAGCAAATATTTTACTTATTTTAAAAAATACACTACCATTTTAGTGGGTCCACTTCTGTCAAAGCTTTCAAATTCTGTTACAGACGTAGGGCGATTTGGTGGTTGCGAGTAGCCATTTTCGCTAAATAACATATGACTAGAGAACCTAAAATTCTAAAAAATAATAATAATAATAATCAAAGAATGTGAACACCAAGCGTTTAACTCCAAAATAGGCAAACTGTTATAAAAAGAGATTATTTTTTTAGTTGTATAATAAAGAACAAGATGTTCTCACAAGATGATTAACATAAATCGGCCAATTGTATTAAATAATTCAATTAGATTTAATTAATATTTTCTTTAATTTCCAATGAGCTGCACAATCGGTCTTGCCGATGCGCAGACCTAGTGCGTTCTCCAGAGGTGGTATCCACTCTTTCAGGACCACCGCAATGGGTGAGATACCGTTGATCATGTTAATTTGGACTCTATTTGGATGCTAAACTGAACTAGGAATTATTAATTTACCCGGAAATGCCAAGAGCCAATAAGGCACTCCAGGGATCTTTTACATGCCGCATAATCATACGACATGGCCGCTGAGGATTTTCTGCATCCCGAAAATCCGGTATCTGGGCCGGGGATCAAACCGCAGACTTGGGCGCAGAAGGCCGACGACAAACCAACTGTGCCACTCAGCCACGATTTAATTAACATCGGTTTCCGAATCGTGAAACTTTGATAACTCGAACTCATATAAGTATTCCTTCTTTGCTGAGTAAGCTTTTTATAAACAAGCTAATTTTATTTTAAGAAATATTTGTCAATGCATTTTAGATTAATGATTCTTGCTTCATACCGTATTTCTGATGCTTATGTGTAACATATCTTGCTGTATATATCAGTTTTAGTGGTATTGAATAGCAAAAATGGTGGTGGCAAATTCACACTTAGTAGTGTAAAAGAACATTTTAGTATGTAGTGCGTCAAAAAAAAATTGACAAACCTAAATAACTTTTGATCTAATGATCGGATCTTCACGTACTAGGACTTAATGTTAATGGCTTAAGGGGGTGACCTCAACCATGCTAATTAATAAGTGCAGACGATATTTTTAGTTACGAAATCAGACGCAAAAACTTATTTCCTCTGAATAAACATACCTTTTTTACGACCCCTAGTATATAGGTCCTGACCCCCAATATATAGGTCTTAGCTGCAATCTGGGAAATATGGTCCTAATAGTTTGGGCTGGAAAGAGCTCCAAAGTTTGAACCCCTTAAAGTTAATTTTACTCCTTACGTATCTCGTTATATCTCGAGAACTTTTTAAGTGAATTTAAAAATTTTTGCAAACAATTATTAAATTCGTTTATCCAAAGATAACCCATGTAAAACATATATTTTAGTAAATATTGATTATTTTTTATTATTTTATTTAAGAATGGTGAAAACAATTTTGAATTGTGAAGTATACAATTTTTTGCGTCATTTGAAAGAATATAATTTTACATGGCAAAATACAACATTTCAGCAAAATCGGTTGAATTGTTCCTGAGAAATTGAATTTCTAAAAAGTCAGATATTTAAAATTCGATTTCTGAGGATCTACTTAAAGGATTTTGCTTACAATCTGCATTTTGCCGTGTAAAATTACGTATTTTAAAAGAAGTAAAAAAATGTATACCTTACAATTCAAAATTTATTCAACTATTGTTTAATAAAATAATAAATATTTACTGAAATTTATTTTTTTGCATGGAACAATATTTGGATATTGGAACAATATGGAAATTTATTTTTTTGCTTTGGACAAACGAAATTTATAATTGTCTGCAAAATTTTTTCAATTCACTTAAAAAGTTCTCAAGAGGCAAAATACGCAAAAAAGTAAAATTAACATTAAAGGGTTCAAACATTAAATCGCTATCCTGACCATACTATGGGGACCATATTTCCCAGATTGCAGCTCCCCCCTATATTTTGGTGGTCAAAAATCCAAATCCGTTGAAGAAAAAGTATTTTTATTCAGAGAAAGTACTTTAATTTTTGTCTGATTTCGTAACATAAGATATCGTCTTCACGTATTAATCAATCTAATCGAGGCTACCGTTTCGAGCATCGAGAATGAGTCTTAGAATGAATTTAAAGATCCGATCATTAGATCGAAAGTTATCCAGGGTTGCCCACGTTTTTGGCTCACTGTACACTTAGATCCAAGAATCATGTATGGTGTTTCGCTACAACGTTTTGATGTAAAGTTGTTTCCACCATTTTTGCCGTTGAGATGCATAAAAATTTTATGCATTGTATATTTTTTGCATGGAATTATTTCTGAATAAGCGAATTTAATAATTGTGTGAAAAAAGTTTTCAATTCGTTTAAAAAATTATCGAGATATGGCGAAATACGCAAAAAGTAAAACCAACATTTAGGGATCAAAACTTTGGGCCGCTCTCCTAACCATACTATTAGGGCCATACTTCCCAGATTGTGGCTAACCCCTATATCTTAGAGAGCTGAAGTCTGAATTCGTCGAAAAAAAGTTATGCTTATTCACAGAGAGTACATTTTTGTGTTTGATTTTGTAACTTAAAATATCATCTGCACTAATTAATTAGTACTAGTAGGCTGCGCCCTCTGCTCGCTTACGCTCGCCAACCCCCGAAAATTGCAACGCAATCTTATATGGTTTGTTTCGCAAACCAAGCTCGCTTCGCTCGCTACTAACTTAGTTACATTGAAAATGCACAAAATTCTAAGAATTCGAAACAATCATTCAAATCCATATAACAACTTTTTCTTTAAAAATAAATTACATCTTTTTAGTAAATACTAAGTCATTAAAATAAATTTGAATTCAAATAAATGACATGTAATTCGTTAAACCTATTAGAAATGTGCTTTGTATAAAATCTTAAAAGCGTAACAGCACGACTGAGACTCATTTTTCAATGAATAACTAATAACAATAATAAAACAAATAAATTCGTGATATAAATCAAAAATCGTCAAATAAATTCGTAATATATAAATTCGTGAAAAAAAGCGCTTTCGACAAAATACTAAAATAGA